TTTTATTTTGTTTCTTGTTTTGGAAACTATTTTTATTTTAAAAAAGAGAACTGTTTTATATGTGATTTCCAAACCTATCTCGCCTCCCCATTTGTTAGGCTTTTTATTTATTATTTATTTATTTTCTGCAAAGGATTCAAATTCTATTTTATGGAATGAATACTTTTACTATATAACTATTTTTATATTTAATGTGAGAAAAAAAACYCTAATGAGATTCTTACTAGTCCACTCTTTCTATATGTATACACACACTCTTTCTATATATATACACACATACTTCTCATTATCTTTATTTTATTCTCCATATTTCCGATTGTGAGCAACAATTTCTTTGATAGTTTCTTTCTAGTAGACTTCTAGAGGGTGAGAATTTAGTTTTTCTTTTATTTTTTTCTTCTATTTTTACTTTTACTCTTCTTGCTTTCTTTTMTGTTTCTCTTTTATTGGTAAGGAAATCATGTTTTCTATTTTAAAATTAAAAAGAAAAAAAGATTGAGAAAAGGAAGTTTTCGAAAATCAAGAAAGAAGATCGATGTTTTTTATTTTAAAATTAAAAAGAAGAAAGAAAGATTCATAAATTGAAATTTTCGAAAATCAAGAACGGTTTTTTCTATTTTAAAATTAAAAAGAAAGATAAAGATTCASAAAGTTGATTTTTGGAAAATCAAGAAAGAGGATCGATGTTTTCTATTTTAAAATTAAAAGGAAARAAAACCTTCAAAAAAAAGAAATTTTTGAAAATCAAGAAAGAAGATCGGTCTTAATTTTCCATAAATTTTTTTACATACATCGGTAAGAAAATATTTTAAAATTAAAAGAAAAAAAAGATTAAATTTTCGAAAATCAAGAACGATGTTTACTATTTTAAAATTAAAACGAAAAAAAATTCAGAAAGTGGAATTTTCGAAAATCTAAGAAAGAAGATCGATCTTAATTTTCCTTAATTTTTTTACATAGATCGGTAAGAAAAAGAAAGAGCAAAATTGTATTAATTCCGTCATGTCTTAATTATGTATCTTTTTTCGTGCATGCCTTTCATCGCCCCCCTATGAAAGGCTAAACCCCATTTATATTTGTTTTTCTTTTCTTTTATTTATTTATTTATTTGCCCTATGAAAGGCTAAACCCCATTTATATTTGTTTTTCTTTTCTTTTATTTATTTATTTATTTGCCTTTTGTTTTTAATATCTGGTTTATAAATTTTAAACAAAGATTATAATTATAATTTTTAATCTTAATTTTATTCCTTGATCAAATTATCTCTCTTTTGTTTTTCTTTCTTTCTCTACCCAATATCGTCGGTGCTTTCATGGCTCCTCTTTTGTATTTGTTTTTATTTTTCATTTTGTTTTATTTATTTATTGGCTTTTTACTTTTAAATATCTACTTCTTAACCAAATTTTAAAGAAACAGATCTTAAACGAGGATTATAATTATAATTTTTAATCTTAATTTTGTTCTTTTTTTTTCAATTTAGTTTCATCAATCCTAAGCGTGTAACCATGAAGCTCCCAAGTGGTTACAAGTTCAATCCCAAAAATCAAGAAATCTTAGGCTACTATCTTTTTCACAAGATTGTTGGAGAGTTCAAGACTCCGCTTCAGTTGCCCGTGATCGATCTTTATAGTCAAGGACCTTCTGAGATATGGGAAAATTTGGGATGTATTGATGAAGAAGACCTTTATGTTTTCACAAAGTTGAAAAGGAAGCGTACTCGAGTGATTAGAAAAGTCAGTACCCGTAATGCTGGCACTTGGAGTGCTGAAACAGCACCCACTAAAATATTTACTACCACCACTCCTGAGATCCTATTGGGTACTATGAAACGTTTTCATTACGAAAACGGTCAAGATTGTGGTCCATTTTCATGGATCATGTACGAGTATTCTCTCGATCCCTCCATTCTACCGTCAAACACCACAATCGATATAAAAGATTCCTACGTACTCTGCAAGATTCGAAAGAAGATGAAAAGTGTTGAGGATTCTCAAGTAGAAGATCCCAAGAAACGACAAATTGTGCATGATGATCCAGATCCCAAACGCAGAAAATTAGTACAAGTAATGCACAATGAATTTCAATTTTCGAATGATAAGGGACTTGGTGGTGTTGTGTGGTAAGATTTTATTTTTTCTTTTCTCTTAATTATTATATTGAATTATTTTATACTTTTTTAGTAGGGATCGAATTCACAACCTCATGGTTTATACTTATGAGTAATAATGACGAGCTGTAACGTTTCTTTTTTTTTTTTAATTTAATATCTACTGTTTAAATATTTTTAATTTATCCCTCGAGTTTTAAGGGAGTCCGATAGGTGGTAATTTTTTTTCAAAATAAATGATGTTAATATGTTATTTTATAATTATTTCTTCCCACATAATATTTTATTAATTTTTCCTTAATAAATTGTTACTCTAAGCGAGAGTTTAATTTGTTTATAGTCCGACGATACAAATGGAATTGTCTCATCTAAACCTCGTAGAGTTTCAAAGGGAACTTAGTCCGACGATACAAATGGAATCGTCTCATCTAAACCTTGAAGAGTTTCAAAGGGAACTTATATCGATGGAAACTATCGATAGGTAAGATTCTAATTTTGATAACCAATGAGTATTAAGGTATTGCTATAATTTCTTCATAGATATATATCGCACTGGTAAATTTATTATTCTTTTATAATTATTCTAATTATGATATTGAATTGGTATTAAGGTATCACTTTAATATTTTATTTTTGTTCATAGGCCAACAACACAAATGGGTTCTTTTATTCCAAACTTCGAAAACATACAATTTCCAAGAGGAGGTGAATTGTACAAGAATGTGGACAACCTTGATACTTGGTAAGTTCTAATTTTGATAATATCAACAATATCGAAGCGTCTAATTATATTTTTTTAATACAATACTATAGATTTGAATTTTTTTATTTTAATATTAAATAGTTTAAAAGTTCCATATTCATTTCATCGTGGATAATATTTGATTATTTTTCTCTAATAATGCCTATATAAACAAGACTATTAACAGTATTTTAA